TCATCGCCGGGCGAGTTAATTCGCCCGTAGTTATTCACCTGCACGTGAGGACGAGGTGAGGACTTGCCTAGGGGTACCTTGCTGCACATGGTTAGAGAGCCTGCCGAGAGCAAGGTTGAGGTGAGAATTCAACCTCCATGAGCACCAAATGAAGTGAAAGCCCGACTACCCCCCCCAGCCAGAGTGCCCCATCCACAGGTGCCGAGCCGCTCCTCTACGAGGCATCTCCTCGTAGAGGACAGCCTGACGCTGCCAACGTGCTGCCAGCAGCGTTCTGGAAGCTGCCATGCGCTGTTGGCAGCAAAACGACGCTGGCAGCATCATTAGATGCTGCCAGCACAGAGGAATCTTGCCAGTGGCAGCTTTGCTGCATCACCACCGAGGTCGGCCTGTTTCAATGAATCTGGTCCCTGGGTGTTTTCTACACACTTTGCAAGTGTTACAGTCAACTTAAATTTTTTTCCATTTATAAGAATTATAAGACACCCTAAACCATCCCGTTTACAAGATAACTCAAGCATTTTTGCCCGTGTACGAGATAAGACATATATGTCTTATATCCGGGCGATGACGGTATTATGTTTTCTCATGTAGAACGTTGATGGCAGAGCCCATGGTCACAGATCAGCATGGCCTGGATACCTAGGGAACGGAATAGCATCTCGGATGTTATCAATGCCTGTGGCAAAGAGAATCATTCTTTCAAAGCCCAGACCAAAGCCCGCATGGGGCACTGTCCCGTACTTGCGCAGATCCAGGTACCACTCGTACAACTCCCGTGGCAAGTCCATCTCCTCCAACCTGGGAAACAAAATGGTTGAAATGTGATGTACGTGGAAGTCAGTGCCCCGTGGCTTGACTGAAAGTGTTGATGCGGCTTGGCCAAAAGCATGCACTGCTGAGAGAGTGATTTTGATTCGCCACCATCACCGACGTGGCAAGACAGGAAGCAAGCACATACCTCTTGACCAAGACGTCATAGCGCTCCTCCCGTTGACTCCCTCCTATCAACTCCCCCACCTGCACAGACAAGCACGTTGTCAAAAGGCATTGAATGGGTCACATCAGATTTCAAAAAAATCGAACTTATGTGTCCATGCATGCCAGGGTATTGCAGCAAGCCCACCGACCAGCTTCTCTCCCTAAAGTGAGCATGGCTTACCCCAGGCACCAGCACATCCATGGCTGCCACAGTCTTGCCATCATCATTGAGCCGCATGTAGAACGCCTTGATCTCCTTGGGGTAGTTGTACACTATCACTGGCGTCTTGAAATGCGTCTCCGCGAGGTACCTGCCACACCATGCCATACCATACCATGCCCATGCAATGCCAACATGTGCCATGGTAATACAAAACAATATGGAACTTAGAGTGACTGCCAACAACAACATTGCTGCAAATCAGCCTTAAGCTGTAGTACCCACCTCCCTCCTCCCCCTTATTCATGGCAAACCCCCTTTCTCCTTCTGTCTCACCTCTCATGCTCACTCGCAAGGTCGATGCCCCACTCCACCGCATTCTCAAACTTCTTCCCTTTCTTGATCGCCTCTTGCAGCAGCTCGATCGCCTCGGTGTACGTCACGCGGGCGAAGGGCGACGATGCCACGTGTGCGAGGCGGTCCAGAGCGGTCTTGTCAAACATCTTGGTCATGAACTGCATGTCATCGTGACAGTTGTCCAACAGCCATTGGCAGAGAAATCGCACATAGTCCTCCGCGCATTTCATGTCATCCTGCATGGAGTGGTTGGTTGGGACAGGACACACGCAGCACATACACATCAAACCATGAGAGACTGTGCTGAGTGGAAGGAAAACAAGCCAGGCCCAAAACAAGCACATTTGACACCAGCAATGCAGACGTAGGATTACACCTGCTGCAAGTACAGACACCTCAGCAACATACCTCCAGGTCAGCAAAGGCAATCTCGGGCTCGACCATCCAGAACTCCGCCAGGTGGCGGGTTGTGTGGGAGTTCTCCGCACGGAAAGTCGGCCCGAACGTGTACACGCTGCTCAGCGCACACGCGTACGTCTCCACCTGCAGCTGCCCCGAAACCGTCAGGAACGCCTGCCGAGCAAAGAAGTCCGTTCCAAAGTCCACGGGCCCCTTGCCGTCCTCCCCTTTCCGCGGCAGCCCTGGCCGCATCTTCGCCCGTGCCTCTAAGGCAGCTAACGCCTCCTTGGCCTTCGTTAGCTCCGCCACGCCGGCTTTAATCTCCTCCTTGCTCGCCTTGGCTTCCTTGAGAGCCTTCACCGCGGCGCCCGCTGCTGTCACGGCGTCCTTGGCGGCCGCCACGTCAGCGTCCGTGGGAGGGGGGTTTTCCAAGAGGGCCTTTTCGCGGCGCTCGGTTTCGGCGATGAGGGTGGTAACGTGGAACATTTCGCCAGCCCCTTCGCAGTCGTTGGTGGTGACGATGGGCGTGTGCACGTAGAGGAAGCCGTGCTTCTGAAAGAAGCTGTGCGTCGCGAACGCCAGCGCGTTGCGGATCCGCGCCACCGCCGCGATCTGCGCGGGGAGAGCGGAGCGCGGGGACGGGACGGGTGGGAAACGCGGGGGAAGCGAGGACAGGGGGAGCGCGGGAAATGGATGGGAGGAGGGAGGGGCGAAGCGGCGTGAAGATGAGAGGGGGAGAGCGTGGCGAACGGGGGTTGCAGAAGGGTATCCGTTTCTTCTCCTCTCCGATAGCCCAGCTCGCCACGTCAGCATTGCGTCATACCGTGTTGGTGCGCGGTCGCAGGTGCATGACGGATCGCAGGTACTCGAGCGACAGCTTCGTCTTGGCGATGGGGTACACGCCAGCGTCGCACGGACCCACGTGGAGCACTTTGCTGACGTGGACCTCCACCAGCTGCTTCGTCCCCTCAGGCGTGCGCTTCAGCTCGCCCTCCACGCGCACGCACGTGCCCGTCGCCACCAGCTCCCCAATCGCCGCCACCTCAGCCTTCACGATCACCTGCGAAGGGACAGTGGTGGATCAGGACGAGACGGCTCGATGCCACGAAGAGATCCACGTCAGCATCACGACCTCGTGTGAGAGGGGGACGATCAATAGAAACCTGGAGCTTGAACACTCCATGCAAAACCCCCGTCGACCTGCGCGAGCACACGGCCGGATTAAACAGTTGCTGAATTGGATCGCGCGAGCAACGGAGCACGTCAGCGATCACCCGATTTGGCGAATCACACAATATGCTAGCACGCGACGGTCACTGCTCGCTGATCGCCGGTCCTTGACGAACACACCGCGAGCGACGGTGTACGATGGTCTGCGACTGCGTGCGACACTGTGCGACGGTACCTGAAGGTTGGCGGGGCACGATCCGTCGTTGAGCTCTAGGAAGGCGAAAGTTCCCTTGCCCTGCTCTCGCCCAGTCTTCACCCATCCTCCCACCACTAACGTCTGCCCAACTAATGACAAGCCGCCATCTGGTGCACCGAGAACAGTTTTGATCACGACCCTTTTTGAGTATGGAGCGAGGATCGAGACAGCGGGAGCGGGCTGCGTGGATTCGCCATTATCGGCTGGAGATGCTGAACCGTCCGCCATGGCTGATTGAACTGTGACTGTATTAGTGAGAGCGACGAACCATCAAACGTGACAAACAAGTTGTACATTTTATGGTCTGACCCTATAACAAGCGTTCATGCCGGAGTGGTTAACGGGACAGACTCGAAATCTGTTGGGCTCTGCCCGCGCAGGTTCGAATCCTGCTGAACGCGCTCTTTGTTCGTGCACTTTCGTTTTGTCAGTTTTTGTCTGTTGCAGTTCCCGTCGTCATGAAGCCGTGTGCAATTTGTTCGCGCGGTGCTGCTCTTCGCACTACAAGTCCTGTTCGCCTTCGGGAATGTTTCAGGCTCGAACCTGTTAGATTGCAGGATGCTATGTCTTCAATTCAACCTTTCCGTCTGGCATACTGTCCCGTGATACTGTATGATCAGATTCTGAAGCTTGTCAGGCATTGGGAATGTCGGCTGACACTGTCGCTGGAACTGGAGTTATTTGAGCAAGCCTATGAATGAGCGAATAGGAGAATGCTTGAGGCAGCTCTTGGATTCATGATTCCTTATTGCGACGCGACCAGTGCGTGTTGGCAGCTCGTCATGACCACAAACTACTGCTACTGTATTTCGTTAAAACAGTAGAGTAATACCTCCTCACGCATGCGAAGGACGAATTTTGTCAAAAGAGTCTGTGAGACGGCTCGTGGTTTTTTTTTAAGACGAGACAGTCGGTGTGGGCCATGTCGTAGAGTCATTTGCACCACTGAATGCTCTGAAATCGCTATGAGCTTCCCGTTAGTCTAGTCGCTGAAGCGTGCTGCGCCTTCCTCATGCCATGACGAGCGTCCCATCGTCCTCGTCTCCGCCTGGCTTCGATCTGTCGGCCACCGGTTATTCCTTCCGACCTCCCCTGACGAACGTCTGCACCGCTCTCGTATCGAATCTGTCTCCATCCTCGATATGGACGTGTTCAGTTTCAAGTCAATCGAGCGTCGTCGTCGTGGATTTGTGGCCGTCCGATCCAACCTACCTGTCCAACGAGCCAGCTTGCAGCAGTTATCTCCTCATTCCTGCAGAGAACGCATGGGATGTGACTGTACGAACGGCGATTTACACGTTGGCGTTGGTGTACCTGTTCATAGGCCTCGCTACAATCACAGGCAAATACATGGAAGCTATGGAGAACATCGTTCAGCAGACCCGTAAAGTCAGACTCTGGTGCGTTTGGAAGAAAGAATTCAATTTTACTCTGAGTTCAACGAAAGGCTATGAGCAGAATATATTTTTCTAACGCGGAATCTGTTGATAGCACAAATTCTTCCACTGGAGAACGTCATGCTGCATGTAAAACAGTGAAACAGAAATTATGGAAGGTCGATATTTTTACAGAGGGGCTTTGACATTATCGTGTGCTCTCTTTTGTTTTCTTTTTCCTTGAACCCAATTTGTCATCAGGGACCCTGTGGTTGGTAGGTGGATGGAGTCGGAGCAGCGCATGTGGAATCCAGCCATCGCTGACATCACGCTGCTGGCGCTGGGCACGTGTGCGCCTCAGATCTCCCTCGCAGTCATTGACGCCGTCAGGCGGCTGGGCAAGACCGGCGGACAGGGTGAGCGTGGTTCCAGGTCGTATGGTGAGGTGTGAGTTACAGACTCACAGGAGAGAAAGCACAGATTTCAACGTCCATGCCTTCAAACGTGTAAAAACATCTTCTCTACTCTCATCTCTTGTCATCCAGACGGCTTCTGTTGCCTAGTTTTGTGCATCTATTCCCTGTACTTTCATGTGTGTAGCATTTTTTCCACAATTTGTGCTTTCTTGCGACTCATTTGCGTGTACTCCTCTTTTTCCCTCCCCCGTGTGCACCCAGACCTGGGAGCAGGCACCATCATAGGCGGCGCAGCCTTCAACATTTTCCCCATCCTGGCTGTGTGTGTGCTCGTGCCTCCTGCTGGCACTGTCAAGCGCATTTCAGACGTGGGGCTCTTTCTTGTCGAGTTCCTCTGGTCGCTCTGGGCCTACGTGTGGCTCTACATCGTGCTACAGGTGAGCCCAGGAGGCTGTGTCTCAGGGATGGCTGTGTTGTTGTGCCACACCCACCATGTGTTTCCATGTCAAGATGCATGGCAATGGCAATCAGATTTCGCTGTCGTGTGAGCCACCTTCAAGCTCTCCAAGCATTGAGGCTGATCCTGCTTATAATTCTCTTTCACGTCTCTTGTTGTTTCCACCTGGTGTTCCTCCTGTCCAGGTGTGGACGCCAGGCGAGGTGACGATAGCAGAGGCGGTGATGACAGTGCTGCAGCTGCCGCTGCTCATGCTGCACGCATACGCCCAGGAGCAACGCTGGCCCTTCATAGCCCTGCCGCTCTCACCACCCACCAGCCAACCTCCCACTGCTTCCTCCGAAGCCGTTGCTGCGACAGCAGGAGCTGCTAGCTCAGCAATGCAGGAGGGTGTTGAAAGCGCAACTGTACGAAGTGCTTCCTTTACAGATAATGGTATGGCAGACAGGGTTGTTGCAGGCAGCGGTGCAGCAGTATCTGGCCTGCATGGAGATTTATCTCCAGGTGTTGCCTCTGGTCCTGCTATGGAGGGCCATGCAGCACTGGGCGATTTTTCCACTCCAAGCAGGAGCAGGAGGAGGCGGAGGAGCAGTGAACACGATCGCAGCAGCAGGCGCAGCAGTGGTGGTGGTGGTGGTGAAGGGGGCATGGGGAGAGGTAGTCGCAGGCAGAGCCTATCGTCTCAGGCGGAGGACAGAGAGTGGGACGATGCGGAGGAGGATGAAGAGGTGGGGAGGGGAAGGCGCAGCTCTGGGCAAGCGTTTCAGCAGGGGGATGTGGAGGTGCTCCCTCAGCCAGACAGCCATGCCCAACTCATTGCTTCTAGGCATTCACATGGGAGCGATGGCAGCAGCGGTGGGACAAAGGGCGTGTCGTTTGGCATGCGGTGGAGGCAACAAATCGTGCTCTCCATGATGGTGTGTTGCCACGTGATGCCTGTTATGACATGTTGGCATGTGCTGACATGATGCCATGTGCTGACATGATGGCATCTGCTGACATGATGGCATGTGCTGACATGATGGCAGGTGCTGACATGATGGCATGTGCTGACATGATGGCATGTGCTGACATGATGGCATGTGCTGACATGATGGCATGTGCTGACATGCGGCATGTGCTGACATGATGGCATGTGCTGATGCGAGGGCATGTGGTGACATGACTGCGTATGCTCACATGCGTGTATGTGATAGGTATTGTAATGGCATGTTGTTCATGTCCCTGATGTCTCCATGGGTATTTTTGCCATGGCCCCCACTTGCATAGCCATCATCAGCCCCCCTGTACAGCTTCAATAATGATAAGGTCACCACTGTACTAATTATTACCATGTTCTATTCTACTCTTGTTCCCCATTGCCTGCGATGCCCTCCACTCCTTCCGATCAATTTCCTGTCCCATCCTATCCCCCTCTCCCTCACCAGCTACACCCATCGGATTACAATGATCTCACAGCACAAGGCAGCATGCACCCCTCACATGAGCAACCAGCAGCCCGTAAAGCCCAGCCAGTGGCAGCGAGGGTGCGGCGGGTGGTGGTGCAGGCGGTGTGCTTCTTGTGGAAGGCGCTGTGTGCGGTGCTCATCCCCCCGCCTGACGCGCTGCACGGCTACCCCGCCTTCATCACCAGCATCCTCGTCATCACCCTCATCGCTGCCCTCGTTGTCGAGCTCGCCTCGCTCTTCGGCTGCGTCACAGGTGTGGTAGGAGTTATACATGAGGTTACACAGGAGTTATGAACATGAATTCATTCTGCGTGCCCACAAGACAAAGAGCTGCCGCCTGTCGCTCCTGAACCCATGTACATGTTTTTCCTCCCTCCACCCCCCCTGCCAGGGGTGAACTCGTTCGTGGTATCCATAACGCTGCTGGCGACGGGCACATCCATCCCGGACCTCATAGCCAGTGTGGTGGCAGCAGACCACCTGCCCACTGCTGACTCCGCCATCGCCAACATCAATGCCAGGTCAGCGCTCTCCCACTGCTGCTGCTTGTCATGCCAGTCTCAATGCTTAATGTGGTGATTCGAGTGTGGATTGCCACAGAGGTTAGCCAAGGCTTGTTATCTTCTGCTATTTGAACGCACCGCTTTACCTGAGCTTTCCTCTATGCCTGGCAGCAATTGCATTATTGTTTTCTCTGGAATGGGTATTCCATGGCTCATCACCACTCTCTACAATGAGTTTGTGTTGGGATCAGCAAACAATGTGAGCACGGCTGGCCTCGGTTTCTCCATCATTGTTTTTTTCTTAACAACTGCCGTGTGCATGGCGATCTTATTCCTTCGGAGAATCATGCTCGGAGGAGAGCTTGGAGGGCCCAGGCCTCTCGCTTGGCTCTCTTGCTTTGCCTTCATGCTGCTCTGGATTGTCTACATGCTGCTCTCTTCACTGAATGCATATGGAATAGTTGGAGATATGGTGTAGATGATCTCACCCGACTGTCGATAAAAACCCTCGTTTTGAATATCTGAAGTTCACCACCATCGCTAGGACACTGTGACGGGTTCACGTCTGGCCTTTCATGGTAAAAAGGGGCATGTTTGTGTGATCCACGGGTGCAGCTTTGTTTTATAGTTACGGTAAGAGTATCTCGTAAGAACGAATACTAACATTTATTTGTGATAAGCACTGCATTTCATAAGGTATCTGTGCAGTAAACAATTTGACTTGTTCCAAGGTGGATGCACTTATGTGGTTCTGAAACACGTAATCAGATTCACAATATTTATCCTTCAGCGTGTTTTACAGTAATGGATCGACTTCTGGTGAGTAGGTCATTCTGCATCTCTTCAAAATCTGTTCTGCGTTGGCTGGACGCAAGAGTCTGCACATAAAGGAAAGACTGCCCAGAACAGATACGACTTCGCGAAAAACTGGCGGAAATTTCACTGATGGCCAGCACAGGCAGAACTCTGGGCAGTCCATACTAATACGGAGACTTTTGTTGCATGGAACTTGGGACGAAAGACTCGAAAATATTCATGTTGCAGGGGAAACCTCTTTTGAAATCACCCCCTCAACACAAATCCTGAGTTGCTTGAAGCGGCCCAAATTACCTGACAGCAGCTGCTGGAGGTTGATCTCTTTCCTCACTTTCAGGCTGAAGCTAGGGTTTGGTGGTCCCTGAGACTGGTGCTCAGATCCATGCCAGCGCGTGTGGCCAAACGTTATCCTCCCGGCGGCGAAGGCGCGGGTTGCGGGAACCTCATTTTCGCAACTAGCGCTTCGGCCACTGCGGTCCCCACTTTCAGCGAATCATGTGGCGTTTTCATCTGATTTTTTGCCTATTCGTTAGCCCAACGGTTCTGCCTCACCTTGGCGCCAACAGGCTTAGCTCTTTCATGTTTCACCACCAACGCGCACTCCCTTTGGCCCCATTCGCTGCTCGGTTCTTACCCCACTCACCTCCCATTCAGCCCCAATCCGTGCCCCTCCGTTCACCCGTCAATTTCCCAATTCACCATTTCCCAACCAATTCGCCTCGTTCTCGCCTCCTGATATTCTCCTAGTCTTCCTCATTTCGGCATTGCGTTCAAACGATACATTCAACCGTCAGTCCGTTCGATCGATGGGCCAACCGCTGCAACATCTCAACCGCCTTGGAGCAACGTTGCTGACCTTGCGCCGAGCTATGAACTAGTGGAGCCATGTCGCCGCCGAGCTGACTGCTTTGAGACGGCGAAAGCTCAGCCTATTTTCATTTGCAGCAACGCATTGTGTAAGTTTTCAAAATATCGTTGTGACGCGCATGTTTCCTGTTTTTGCATTGTTTTCTTTGCTTTCTGCGCGGCGACCATTATTCTGACAAATGTTTTCTACCCGCGCAGGAACCGAGTGTACAAGACGACTCGAGATCCTCGGCAGAACGCGAAGAGAGACTCAAGACGTGCAACGAGCAACTTCAACACGCCTCCAGTCAACGCTGCAACGACAAACACGCCAAGATCCGCGACGCGTCCCGCAGTCAACGTCGTCGGCGTGGAGTTAGCGCGCGTCAGCGTCGCGTGCGGCTTCGATCCGACAATTAATGATGAGTACCACCGGCTGGTCGCCGTCGATCTCTCGTTGCTCGCATGCTCGCGATGCTCTGTAGCACACCCATTCCCCCCCGGTTCAGGTTTCAGGTGTAGGTGGTACAGGTGTTCCCCGGTTCAGGTGAGGTGAGAATCAGGTCAGACTTGGTACAGGTTCGGCCTTGGTACGGTTCAGACTCAGGTATTTCTTCCTTGGGTGTGCTACAGCAGGATCTGCTTTGCTCCTCCTGTTTTCGCCTTCATTGCCATCCCTTTCCATGCATGTGCTGCTTCCCTTCTTCCCTTCACTCATTTGTGTTCCGCTCGTCCTCCCCGTTGTTCCAGGAGGCGCTTTGTGTTGTACCCATCGCGGCTCTCCTCGTTCCGCTTCCTTCAACGCGGCGCCCTGCTTCCGCGAGTCAACACGTCAAGATCCGCGCGACACTATCCTGCAGTCAACGCTTTCGGCTTGGAGTCAGCGCGCGAGGGCGCGTCGCCTTCGGCTTCGATCCGACAATGATGAGTACCACCGGCTCGCGATGCTCTGTAGCACACCCAAGCCCCCCCCCCGGTTCAGGTTCCAGGTGCAGGTGTAGCTGGTACAGGTACCCCCCGGTACAGGTTCGGCCTTGGTACGGTTCAGACTCACCTGCGTGTCGTACATCAGCCTCTGCTTTGCGTCGTCGTCCCTTTCCATGCATGTGCTGCTTCCCTTCACTCATTTGTGCTCCGCTCTTCCTCCCCGTTGCTCCAGGAGGCGCTTCGCGTTGAACTCATCGCAGCTCTCCGCTTTCCGCTCGCTTCAACACTTCGACAACGCAGCGCGCTGCTTCCGCGGGTCAACGATCTGCTTCCGCGGGTCAACGATCTGCTTCCGCGAGTCAACTTGCTACCCGAAAAAAGATGAGTATTCCTGCTTTGATTTCGTCTTGTATTGTGAATGCGTTTTGTCCTCGCTCTAGCTGCCTGTTGCACACTCAATCCCCCCCTTTTATTTTAAGGTAAGACTATCAGGTGTCCCTTATTATTTTTATCCTTCCCTTGGTACGATAAGGTACAGGTCCCCTCCCCTTAACCCCTCTTGAGTGTGCTACAGCAGCATGCATGCATCTCCGTCCGTTTCGTCTCTGCTGCTTCCCTTCTTCTCTTCCGCATGCCTCTTCACTCATTTGTACTCTGCTCTTCCTCCCCGTTGCTCCAGGAGGTGCTTCGCGCTGCACTCATTGCTGCTCTCTGCTCGCTTCAACGCTGCCGCGAATCAACGCGCTGCATCCGCGAGTCAACGCACTGCATCCGCGAGTCAACGCGCTGCATCCGCGAGTCAACGCGCTGCATCCGCGAGTCAATGCGCTGCATCCGCGAGTCAACGCGCTGCATCCGCGAGTCAACGCGTTGCATCCGCGAGTCAACGCGCTGCTCGTCAGGAAGATAAGTGTTTTCGTGCCCATGCCTGAGACCATTTTCGCGTTTGTCAGTCGCTTGCTTTGATTTCGCTCCATCGTTTTGCATGTGTCGCTGTAGCTGCCTGTAGCACACTCAAGCCCCCCCTTTTTTTAAAGGTACAGACTAAGGTCAGGTAAGGTAAGGTAAGGTAAGGTAAGGTACGTACAAAACTTATCCTTGGTAAGGTAAGGTACAGGTATCCCCCCCACCAACCCCCCTTGAGTGTGCTACAGCAGCTGTTCATCCTTCCCCTTGTGCTGCGCGAGTGCTCCTTGCTTGCATGCGCGTCCTCCGCACTCCCCCTCCTCTTCCGCGGACTCCCTTCTCATCACACATCCTTCCCCCTCTTCGCCTTTCCTGCCTCCCTATCCCGCAGCCTCGCGCCTGGCGTCAAGGAACATGCCTTCGGCGGGCGTCGCGGGGAGGCGCACAAGGGGAGCTGCTGTGGGGACGCGCGTGGGAGGCAGCAGCGGGGCGACTTGGCTCTCCCTCAGCCACCAGCGCACAGCGACCAACAGATGAGTATCACTCCGCCAGCCCTTCCCGCTCGTTTCGCATGCCCCATAGCACACCCAAGCCCCCCATTTTGTTAAGGTTAAGACTGTCAGGTACCCCCTCCCCTTGGTGCAAAACTTTTATTCCCCTGGCGTGGTAAGGTAAAGGTCCCCTCCCCTCCGCTCGGGTGTGCTTGAGCAGCCATGCTTGCCATGCTTTCGCACTCAATTCCCTCCCCTCCCCCCCCACCATTCCCCCCTCACCCCCGCTCCGCCCCTTGACCATCTCAGAGCCCTGCTGGCGTCAACAAACGGCCGTCGCTTTGCCTGGCGAACGCTCGTCAAGGGGACGTGGGGCGCGGAGGCAGCAGCAGAGGTTCAGCGGGTCTCCTTGGACTCCCCACCAAGCATCCGCCACAGAGCGACCAACAGATAAGTACCGCTTCACCAGCCTCTCTCCCTCTGCCTTTGACCGTTTTCCCGCTTGTCTTTGTCGTTTTGCATGCTTGTCTCGTTTATTCTTTGCCTTCCTCATCGCTCTAGCTGCCTGTGGCACACCCAAGCCCCCCCCCTGGTATTTCAAGGTGTAGGTCATCAGGTGTCCCAGGTACAGGTACAAACCTTTATCCAGGTCCCTTGGTACGGTATGGTGAGATTCAGGTCCCCTCCCCCTTTCCTTGGGTGCTACAGCAGCCTAGGCCGTGCAGGCATGCTCCACTCGTTTGGATCTGCATCCGCACTCCCCACTCACTCACTCCCCCCCTCCAACCCCCATCCCTTCCCCCCCCCAGGGTGCCAGTGGGAGCAGAGGCGTGTGGGGAGGGGCGCAGCTGCTGCACTGCACCCATCAGTACCTTAACTCGACGCAGTTAAGTACCCAACTGGCCCTTCTCCTTGACCCTTCGTTTTTGCTGCCGTCCTTGCTCTTTGCACTGCTGCACTCGCTATTTTTCAGCACTTCTGTACTCACTCTTGTGAATGCTCTTCAAAGGTCAGCTACTAATCGTTTTCTCTGCACCCCTTGGCAGGTTCATCCACTGTGGTGGTCACTGGTGCTGGTGGTTGGCGGTGGTGTTGGTGGTTGGTGTTGGTGCTGGTGTTGGTGGTGGTTGGTGGTGGCGGTGGCTGTGGTGGCTGGTGGTGGTTGGTGGTGGTTGGTGGTGGAGGGTGGTGGTTGGGGGGAGGCGTTGAGTCTGAATTCCAATAGCCGCACGTTTAAGGCATAATGGACGATCACCAGACCCTGCGGCCGGGGGTCTGGTGTGGCTCCCCTCTTGCCACGTCGGTGAGGGTTCAGGTCTTGGGGTCGCTCCTCAGCCCCACTCTGGAGTGGTGGTGGAGAGTGGTTGGAAGTGGTGGTGGAGAGTGGTTGGAAGTGGTGGTGGAGAGTGGTTGGAAGTGGTGGTGGAGAGTGGTTGGAACTGGTGGTGGAGGGTGGTTGTAAGTGGTGGTGGAGAGTGGTGGGGAGTGGTGGGGAGTGGTGGGGAGTGGTGGTGGAGAGTGGTGGGAAATGGTGATGGTGCTGCGGTTGGAGGGTGAGTCCCCACAAGAGGGGAGAGCATGGCAGGGGAGGGATGTTGAAACCCCAGGTGAAGGCTTCTGAAAGCCAGAAGTTAGAGAAGGGGGTTGAACCCTAAGCCCCCTTACCTTTTACTGCAGTTGGTGTAGTAGAGTAGTGTGGCTGATACTTATGTGACTATTGTACTGTCATAAGTCAGATACGGATGAGGAACTAGTACAATCTTCAAGCTATCTATGGCTGTGTAGCTCCTAGGCTGTGTAGAACCTCTAGGCTGAGTCATTGTTCTGCACAATTCTTAGTAAGAAATTTAGCATTCGCAAAGAATCCCCTTTCTACCATATGTGCAACATTTCGTTTCGTGCTTTCCTGATGGACATGGGCGAATTCGAGTGCAACCCTTTCCACGAGTAGCGGATTCTTTAGGTTGTGCGACAGCCGCAACGCGAGCAATGCAGTTCCACTTTCTTGCTTCCTTCGACTGACGCACTTGCACTTCCGCTTTGGTCGGCGACCTCGCTCGGTGCTCAGCTTACCGTAAATACTGAATTTTGACGCAGCCATGGTTCGTAGTCCTCACCTTGTTTGCCTGGTGCTTGTACTTATCGTAGGTCGCTTGCAGTCGTAGGTCGTTTGTCGTCGTTGGTCGCTCTCTTAATGTGTTTCGGCTCCTTGGCCTCCATGTTTCTCGTCTGAACCGGGTAAGTTTTCCTGCGACCGCTCTCACGCTCTCCGCACTTTGTTCTTCCGTCATCTTCCCTCGTCGCCCATTGCCTTTCTCCTCTGTCATCTCTCCTTCGCCTCTCTCGTTTTTCCACTCTCCTTTCCTTCTCGCCCCCCCGTCCGCTCGTCGCGAGCGTGCCAGACGACGTCGAAGCGCGTGGTGGAGCGCAAGAGCGCGCGATTTCAGGGCAACATCGCGCGGCGAGGGAGCGTGCCGGAGACAGTGGCGAAGAAGGGCGACAAGTACCCCGTCAGCACCATCGTCATCATCTTCTTCGTCTTCGTTGTCGTCGGCTCCGGTATGCCTTGCATGAACTGCGCCTTGTACGCCTTGCACGGACTGATTCTTGTACGGTATGGGTTGCACTTGCACGGATTGTGTCGTGCATTTTCCGGAGATTTGACGAGTACTAGCTTCGCCAGCACGATGCAGCCATCCTCCTGTTCTGTGTTGTATCCGTTGTTGCTGCTTCGCAGTTCGGCTCCTTCGCGTCTGCTCCTTACCTCCCATGCCTTGCCTTCTTTTCTATCTTGACTCATCAGCTTCCCAGCCCGCTTCCCTCCTCCATGCCACAATTCCTCTGTGCTCTATCCCGTATTCATCTCACCTCTCGTTGCTCCTACTTCCCGTTCCCCTGCAGCTCTCTTTCAAATCATCCGCAATGCCCAGACACGCGCAGTTGACTAATAACCATGAGTTTGTCGTGAAACAGTTGCAACGGGTGCTAGTGATTATTACCTTCCAGTTGCAAACTTGGGGTCGGCGCTCGCCCCAAGGCTTGTGGGGCAGCCTGCGTTGCTTGCCTCATCTAGTTATGTTATGCCTTGTGTGTATGTAATGTGCATTTACCCTCAGTGATGTGAAGGACGTTTGTATGTCCTGATAATTACACTGTATATCGTGGTGTTCTGAACTGCACCAAGATCCCATATTCTTGGGATCTGCGTCGGGAAAATATGCCACACGTAATCAACAAGGGTCTCGATAATTTGTTTGGTAAAAAAAAAAAACGGGTACGGTCAACGGAAAGGGTGTTTTCACGTGTTTGATAAAGCGTTTCACGGAATCAGTCACAATCAACTGGGAAAAAAAAAACGCGAATGGTCACACATGAAACTCCCGCCCAAAAAAGATAATACCAAAACGAACCTGGATGCATTTTCGGATGAATCAACCCTAAACACAATTCGCCAGGCGTTTAGGGTTGATCCGTTCCCAAACCGCATCCAGTTCCGATTGGGTTTTAGTTTTTTTTAGAAGTTAGCTGATTGGTTGGACGCGAGCGGGAATATTGTAGAATTTCAAGAATTTTTGGCGGGAGTTACAAGTGTGACCATTCGCGTGATTTTTCACCTGTTGTTAGTGACTGAATTCGTGACCCCACTTACCAAACCCGTCAGGAAACCCGATACAGTGACCGTACGCGTTTTTTTTGTACCACTCACGTTATCGTGTCCCATGTTCGTTACGTGTGGCATATTTTCCCATCTGCGTCAGCCGAACCTCCCCACCACCTCATCCCGCCCAACTATTCTCTGCCGCTCACGACAACTTCAGTTCAGATCCTTTCACAACAACGAGCATCGCTGCCATCACACCGTAGCACCACGCTATACCATTAGATCAGTGACACCGCCCGCGTGCTGATACTAGCGCGGCTCGTCGCCAGTCTCTTCGCGTGTCGTCGAACGAGCCTCAGCCATGGCTCTGCCCATCGCGTGGGCCGCAGTCGGCGCCGGCACGATCGCGATGTCGCTGTTTAAAAGAGGCAGGAAGAAAGCTGGCGAGTCGTCAAATGCTGCAAATCCCGCGCTCTCACCCGACACTGACGACAAGCCGTCACCGGATTCGCCGTCGCCGTCAGCTGTTGCGGAAACAGACGGCGGCCGGCACGACGCGTCCAGTGACGGCACGAGTGAAACGGCCGGCGGCGAGGGGTCGACGCTGCGGAGGAGGCGGGGGAAAGGGGAAGGCGGAAGCGAGGTAGGGGGGGCAGCAGCGGAAGCGGACTCCCCGCGGGACAGTCGCGAAACGGCGGAACGCGGAGCAGTAAATAGCGCGCCGAGCGCGGTGACTGACGATACTGGATCTGGGGAGGATTCGCAGCCAGCAGCCGAGGCGACCGCGGGAGAAGATGCAGGCGATGAGGCGGGCGGTGCCAGCGAATGCGGGGACGCGCAAGCGTCGGAAACTGCAGCGGAGGGAGCGGAGGACGAGCAGAGCGGCGTGGAGGTGGCTGGGGAAAGGCGAGAACAAACAGCGGAAGGGGAAGTCTTAGCAGCAGGAGCAGCAGAAGAAGCAGGGGAGGCAACTACAGCGGCAGCGAGTGCCTGCAGGGCAAAGGATGAGCCAGGAGCGCAAGGCACGCCTGACGCGCAAGGCAAGGAGACTGCGGCTGAATCCTCACCTAAGGCGGTGGAGCCCCCCGCTGCACCGCAGACGAAGCCGCGCCAGCAGCCCCTGGGGGTGTTCGTCTTCTGGCTCGTTTTCATCACCCTCACGGGGCTTATAGCGGGGATATTTCTCCTGGCGCAGTTTCTGTTCCTGGAGGACGCGGGGCGGCGCGACTTCATCTCCATCCCGCCGCTCGTGCGCGCGCACCTGGACCGCGGCCAGACCATCAAAGTCGCCGCGCCGGGCGCCGTGGCGGGCGGGGCGGGTGGTCACGGGCAGCAGGGGGAAATAGAGGTCTTCGTGCGCGCGGAGGGGTGGGGGACAGGCCGCGGGAGGAGATGGGGCGCTGACGGCGGAGGTGGCGGGAGCGGTGGGGGGCAGGCGGGGGAGGGGCGGAGTAAGGAAGTGGTGGTGCTGCTGCATGGGCTGGGTGGCAGCTCGTTCCTGTACCGTGACGTCATCACTCTCCTCGCTGACCGGGGGCTCAGAGCACTCGCCCTTGACCTCCCAGGGTCAGGTCTATCCACCAAATTAACCTCAGAAGAAGAGGGTGCAGCAGCAGTGTACCCTGCGCACCAGCTCGCGCGGATCCTGGACAGGGTGCTAGAGGCCCTTGGGATTGCCGAGCCGGTGCACCTGGTGCTGCATGATACGGGCGGTGTGGTCGGCACGTTGTGGGCAGCGGACAACGTGCAACGAGTGAGAAGCATAACACTCATTGACACACCCATGGAAGACCCCTTTGCTCCCGCCTTCCCCCCCGCCTGGCTCCTCCGCTACCCCCACCTCACTGCCCTCGCTGCCCGCTCTGTCTTCCCCGTTGCTGCCCTCCTTGCCTCGTGCTGCGTCAGCGCTCGTGTGGCCGATGACGTGGCGTGGGCCCACGCGTACCTGCTGCAGGCGCATGGGGGCATCCACGCTGCCATGCTGGCGCGCCAGCATGGCAATCTGACGCATGACATGGCGCGGACGGTGCAGCGGCATGCAGAGAGGGCGCTGGGTCGGGTGCCGAGGCAGCTGCTTTGGTCCGGGGAGGCGGAAGAGCAGGGCGAGGAGGTTCGGTCGCACTGGCCTCTGGCAGACTTCCACCTGCATGACGGCAAGCGCTGGCCCCAGGTGCGTGCTTGCACCTTGTTTATGAGGTGCCTAAGATGTGTGCTTGCAGTGATTTTATAGGTCACCTCTGACGTAGAATCGGGGTGTGTGCTTGAGGTCTCACTCTATTTGAGTCTGTAGATCTCTACCCCTTGACAGCATTGATACTGACCACATGCACAGCACAGCACATCATTCTCACCTCCCTTCACTCTCCGTCCTTCCACCCCAACCAGGAGGACCATCCAGGGGACATAGCCGAGGCGATTGCGAGGTTCGTAGCTGCCCAGCCTCCACTGCCTGCAGGAAAGGGTGGTGGCAAGGAGCACAGAAGCAGGCCTGCTGCTGTTGCTGGTGCAGGAAAGGTCAAGGGGGGAAGTGTACACCACCACCACCATGGTCATGCGCATGAGCATGAGCATGAGAACAGTCATGGGCATGGTTTAGGCTACATGGAGGATATTACCCAGGGTCTTAAAATAGGCTAGGAGACAAGTGTCGAGAGTGATGATTGAGTAAGGAGAGACAAGGAGATACAAATGTCGACCTAAAGTGTTGTACCCTTTAGAGGGCAACTCACTGTAGCCTATCTAACAATATATAGAATATATAAACATTTGACACACCCCCATAGGCTAAGTGAGGGGCATCAAAACAACCAACGGAAACAAAGGGTCACAAGACCAGTCAAGAACAAGCATAAAAAACAAAGCTCAGGGTGGCGCTCAGAGTCACCACACACTCCGAGCACAAGCAAGTGGCCACAAGGCCAGTTCAAGAGTTTACTAGTATATATATAGAAGCACA